TCCTGCCGTGCTACACTGCCTTTGGTCCCTTAACTGGTGTTGTTGCTCTCTTGCACATGTGTTGTTGCTCTCTTGCACATGTGTTGGCTCTCTTTCCTTGGACTCTCTCTTTGTATTGCCGGTACTATCCCGGCTCCTTGTCTTGCCCATATCCCTCATGCCGCTTTGTCCTGCTGCAGTCTATCTTTCTTTTGGCTCTCCGGTCTCTGCCTCTCATAGTCGATAGGCCACTTCTCTCTGATGACACCAAACAGCACCACCATTTCTATGTTTTGAGTTCCCATTTTTTGTTTTTTTGTTTTGTTTTTGTGCTCTCTCACTATTTCTCTGTTTATCTCTGTGCTCCCTTGAGCTGAGCTCCTTCTTCAAATATCTCTCTCCCTTGTTTTTCTTTTTTTTTGTTAACTTTCTTTCACTTGGTTTCCGTATGTCTCCCCTTCACTGTTTTTCCCGTGATCTGTGTCTTCCAACTCTCTCTATCTCTGTTTTTTATTCGTATTTTTTAACCAAAACAAAAACAAAAGTGTTTTATATTTGCAATTGTCTGGAGCCTATCTGCAGCTTGTTTCCGCCACTATCTCTCTTCTCCCCTTTTTTATTCTTTTAGTAATTGTTTGTGTTGGTCATCATCCCTTATTTTTATTTGTTTCTAGAGTATTTTAAAATTCTATCTTGCCCCTGCTGCCCATTTATGGGTCTCACTTCTCTTTATATTTTCAAATTGTTTTCTCCCACCTCACACCACTTCTTCTGCTTTGCCGTTGGGCTGCCCACAACTCCCCCACTTACTCCTTCTTTGAACTTCCCTTTGTTTTATAAACATCAGTGCTCTCCCACGTGCTCCTCACTTCCATGCTTCCCTCGTTATATTCACCTTATCAAGCCATGTGTTTTACTCTCTACCTCACTTTGTCTTTCTCCTTCCCAATCCTACGGGTTGCTTCCCTCTTTTTATGTTTTTTTTTTTACATTCCCACCTCAGTGTCTTTTCTGTTGTGTGTGCACCTGTATTGCACTCTCCTTTTCGTTGAGCATTACTAGTATTTTGTATGTTTTTGTTCTTATTTCTCTTGTGAACTATGGGTTCTTCATCTTTGGGCGTGCCTTCTGGACTACTACCACAATTGCTGCCATCTTCATCACCATGATGTCTACGGACTACACAGCGCTTACAGCTTCTTCATCCAAATCTTGCTCTGCTACGCGCACTCGATTTGCGGGGGTGTACTAGAGAACATGTTATCCACCAATCCACCAACTCATTATCCACCACTATCTTAGCTTTATGTTGTTTATCTTTGTATCCATCATGTACCACTTTGTATTGTCTCTTAGTTTATTATTATCAATCTTGTATAAATACCTCCTATATGGAGATGAATCAATCAAGCAAAACATCAAGCAAAATATCATTCAATCATCAAATCTTTCAAAATCTTCATTGGTCCATTCAGTCGATTGTTAACATTTCCCTGGTTTGCAGGTTTTCCTTGCTCTCGCGATGACAGCTGGTGGAGTGTCTCAGTCAGGGTCCCTAACCCCTAATCTTGGTAAAGGAAAGAGCTCTGCTGCTTCCATATTCGACATTCTTGACCGGAAATCAAAAATAGACTCGAGTGATGAATCTGGAACAACTATAGAAAATGTGAAGGGAGAAATTGAACTTCGCCATGTCGGTTTCAAGTATCCAACTAGACCTGATGTACCAATCTTCCAGGATCTTTGCTTGACCATTCATCATGGCAAGGTAACTTGGTAACAATTTTGTTCTTTTACTTATTTCAAACAATGCATAAGATTTGGTCCTCATAGTCTAATTCAAGTTTCTGGGACTTACAAATTTGAATTATGTTATTCAGACAGTTGCTTTGGTTGGAGAAAGTGGAAGTGGGAAATCGACAGTTGTCTCATTGTTGCAGAGATTTTATGACCCTGATTCAGGTCGCATTACATTAGATGGATTTGAAATCCAAAAGCTACAGCTCAAGTGGTTGAGACAGCAAATGGGACTGGTGAGCCAGGAGCCTGTGTTGTTTAATGACACTATCAGAGCCAACATTGCATATGGAAAGGAAGGGAATGCAACAGAGGCTGAAATTATAGCTGCTGCAGAGTTGGCAAATGCTCACAAGTTCATCAGTAGTTTACAACAGGTAGGCACTACAAAATTAACAAGCTTGTCAATTTCTTTTGGCCACAAATACTATAATATAATCTATTGAAAAAATGAGAAGGACTAGTTGATGAATATTCACAAAATTTTATTCGGAACGTTGAAGATTAACCATGTTAAGTTTGGAAAAACAATGCAGGGTTATGATACAGTAGTAGGAGAGCGGGGGATTCAATTGTCCGGTGGACAGAAGCAAAGGGTGGCAATTGCACGAGCTATAATGAAGGCACCGAAGATACTACTACTAGATGAAGCCACAAGTGCTCTTGATGCTGAATCGGAACGAGTGGTTCAAGATGCATTGGACCAAATCATGGTGGATCGAACCACAATCGTGGTTGCCCATCGGTTATCCACAATAAAGGGTGCCGATGTAATCGCAGTGGTGAAAAATGGAGTGATTGCAGAGAAAGGAAAGCATAAAACTTTGATCGGTATCGAGGATGGCATTTATGCTTCTTTGGTAGCATTGCATGCAAGTGCCTCATCTTAGACAGCTTTTATATTCTTTTTATCCAAAGAAAAAGAAAGTATGTAATGTAATTTTATTCAGAGAGGTAAATTACCAATAGGAATAGATCATTTTTTTTAATTATCTTTCTTTCTTGTAAGCTCCACTTGGAGCAACAGAACACTTGTGAATCAAACTCATTATAAATTTGGATTGATTTACATAAAATTTTCCCACTACATGATTTGGTATTTATGTATTGATTAGCTTGAATAACAAGATTCTATTATTAGTCCTGAACTCAGAAAATAATAAGTAAATGTGCATAAGGAAATGTCATCCCATGAGCTGGCCAATGGTCCTTCTTAATAAAATCCCCAATTCCTTCTTCCCAGTCCAACTTCAATTTGTATTCGTATTCAAATATACAGTCTTCAGTCAGATTTTAATTCAATTCATCCATGGCGGGACCAAATCAAACAATTATCATTAAGAACTAGTTAGTGCAACTGCTACTACCATTCGAAGGAACTTTTTCTCCCTGTTTTGACTTTTTTTCTTTTATATAAATTTTCTTCTAATTTTTCTTACAATTTTTCACTTTAAAACTGGCTATGTGCAAGTTGTGTGATTGAAATTTGGATGGACATCATCCAAAAAATTAACGAAGAGTCTCAAATTGACCAATTTCATATAGTTTAAGTCCTTAATTTATCGAAAAAATTGTTTAAGGAGGAAATTGACAATTATGGTATAGTTCAAGGGCAAAACGACAGTTTAGCCTTAATAAAAACTTGGGCCAATAAGCAAAGATCAAGGACATCAAATCCATTCCTAACCTTCCAAGAAGTTCAAAGATTCCTTCTTTGTCATTTGCTATCCAAATTGCCTTGGTTGAAATTGTTCTCCTCAATAATAGACAAACACCTCATTTCATATTCCATGCCATAGTTTTTGTTTTGCTACTAGCTTGTCTTATTCCTTATTTTCATTTCCATGTATTCTATTTTAATCATATTTTCATATTCCAAAAAAGAAAAAAGAAAAAAGAAAAAAGAAATAGAAGTATCAACTTTTTTTCTTTTTCTGGATAATTTTAATGTTTGACTAACCATGTATCCAACAACCTCATCAACCCATTTCCTAGAATGTGGTAAACTTGTTTCCTCTTCAGTGAGTATATTGATCTTTTGGTGATATTAATGTCTCTTGTCTTTAAATTTCTCACCTTTAGAGCATGCATTAGCTGTGTGAGGCTTCCTTGTGATTTCTCATTGCCTACATTTTGCATGCAGGCTGTGTCTGTAATCAAAATGTACATCAGGTTTTCTAGTGCTGACACGTGTGTGGGAGCAAATTTCCTCCCACGAGAATATTCGGTTGAAAGATTCCTTCGTCTTCTCCGCTTCTCTTTCTCCCTGCAAAACGAATAGCAATAAGAGGACCACACCCGGGGGGTGTTGGCCAAAGGTCCTCCGATGCCTAAGTCAGTTCAATCGATCTGAAGAGAAACGATAGCTAAAATAGGATACGGGAATATGTATGTGTGGTAAAAACTGGGTGGCCGGAGCCGTGAGTGGTGGCTGGAGCCTTGTGTAAAAGGGAGAGAGAGAGAGAGTGGCGGCTAGGGTTTGTGAGAAATAATTTCTGCAGAGATTTGGTAGTAATTTTAGACGTACCTCAACCTTTGTGTGTGGCAATCCTTTTATAGAGATCTCGGGGGCTAGGGTTTCAGAGGAATAATTCCGTAGATGGAAGGAAATTATTCCTCCCCAATTTGGCGAGATTTGACTAATTAGGGATTTGATTTATTTGATTTAAATCAAATCCCTAATCAGGGTAGCAATCAAATCAATACCTAATTTAATTAGGTAACTCCTCCATTAATTTAGAATATTCGTAGGAATCAAATCAATCATCAACCTAATTAGGTAACATTCTATTTAATTGGGTAATCCCCAATTAAATTGAATAATTCCCAATTAGGTCAAATAATCCCCAAATTGAAGGAATTATTTGACCTAGGGTTACGAATTAATTCGGTTCCCACAATGTGCACAAACACAAACACACGCACAAAAAAATAAATTATTGGAATAGGTGCGTTTTTTATATTTTTGCTGACTGATCAACTCTATATTCAATTAGATTAAGTTGGCATACGTTCCTTGGTTTATGTAGTCAATTTTGTGCCTGAAAAACAAACAAAAAAATGTGCCTGGTTTCTAATTCAATCTATAAATGTTCTCTTGCAGCTCTGATCTCATCATCCAAGTTTGAGTTGCTTACTGTCAAAATATAGTTGCAACTTACTTCTCTGAGGTGCTGGTTGTAAAATATAGAAAACTTTATTAAAATACTATTGCTTCGAAAAACATGGCTGAGGAAAATCCTGCGGATGGAGATGTAATCAAGGAGGAGGGCAAGGCAGCATCGAATGGCCACTCAGCAGTGGAGGACTCTCAAAACGACCCCCAAGATACAACCAAGAGCAAGGAGGATGGCACCAAAACAGTACCATATTACAAGCTTTTCTCCTTTGCTGATTCCTTGGATTACCTGCTAATGTCTGTTGGTACAATCAGTGCTATTGGAAATGGGGCCTCTTTCCCTCTAATGACCATAATCTTTGGAGATGTGATTAATTCCTTTGGACAAACTGGGAATAATAAAGAAGTGGTTGATGCAGTTTCCAAGGTAAATATTATGTTACTATAATATTGTTCTATCTAGTTCTATCAGACCGTTGACAACTGAGCTTACTTCTGTTTTTAGCATCTATTTTGATTCTCTGGTTCCTCTAACTTAGTTGAAATTTTAATGAACAAGGATCAGAAATAATTTGGCCATTTCAACATTCTCAGGTGGCTCAAAAGTTTATCTACTTGGCTGTGGGAGCAGCTGCAGCTGCATTTCTACGTAAGTACACTGAACTCCCTGCTGGTGCATCAAACAAATAATTTGGCTTTTTAGGAACTGAGATGATTAGCTTTTTCTATATGCCAGAGATGTCTTGCTGGATGGTCACTGGAGAGAGACAGGCTGCTCGAATAAGAAGTTTATACTTGAAAACAATATTGAGGCAAGATGTTGGCTTTTTTGATAAAGAAATTAACACTGGGGAAATTGTTGGGAGGATGTCAGGTGATACTGTGCTCATTCAAGAGGCCATGGGCGAGAAAGTATTTACATGCCACACAAAAGCCTTTTAAGTTATTCCCATTTGCTCCAATAACCTCTCATTTCTTTCATTTTCTTATTGCAGGTAGGAACTTTTATTCAGTTAATTGCAACATTCGTAGGAGGCTTTGTTATAGCATTTATTAAGGGATGGCTTCTCACCCTTGTCATGCTATCATCTATCCCCCTTCTCGTCTTCTCTGGTGCCGTCATGGGCATCATTATATCAAAGTTGGCATCCAGTGGACAAACTGCTTATTCAGTGGCAGCAACTGTGGTAGATCAAACAATTGGTTCAATCAGAACAGTAGGCCTACTTGTCTTTAAGATCTTTAAAACAGAAATTTATTATTTCTATTTTCTTAGTGTAGAACTAAAACTGATTGGTGTTCCCAATTCAGGTTGCATCGTTTACAGGAGAAAAGCAAGCTATAGCTGATTACAACAACTCCTTAATTAAAGCTTACAACTCCGGTGTGCAAGAGGGTTTGGCATCTGGTTTCGGAATGGGTTCGGTTATGCTGATTGTAATGTGTAGTTATGCTCTGGCGGTATGGTTTGGAGGAAAGATGATACTTGAAAGAGGATATACAGGAGGGGAAGTCATTAATATAGTTTTCGCTGTGTTGACTGGCTCCATGTAAGTTGCATATCAGTAAAATTTAATGAACAAATTTGTTGATCCTAGCAGTATTGTACTAGTTAACATGTTTGCGAGATCTACTGACTACTCCCCCTCCCCCCTTCAGTCCAAAATTTGATATGTGATGCTCCAGAAGATGGAGATATAATCATATAACAATGTTTCTTTGATAATTTTTAGGTCTCTTGGGCAGGCATCTCCATGCTTAAGCGCATTTGCTGCTGGACAAGCTGCAGCTTATAAGATGTTTGAGACAATTGACAGAAAGCCAGAGATTGATGCTTATGACACTAATGGGAAACAATTACTTGATATCCGTGGAGACATAGAACTGAGTGATGTTTATTTTAGTTATCCTGCAAGACCGGATGAACAAATATTCGATGGATTTTCTCTCTCAATACCTAGTGGTGCAACTGCTGCTTTGGTTGGAGAGAGTGGAAGTGGTAAATCAACAGTTATCAGTTTGATTGAGAGATTTTATGACCCCCAAGCTGGCGAAGTTCTTATTGATGGCATTAATCTCAAGGAGTTCCAGCTGAAATGGATCAGACAGAAAATAGGCATTGTCAGCCAGGAACCCGTTTTATTTACTTGTAGCATTAAAGATAATATTGCCTATGGGAAGGATGGTGCAACCACTGAAGAAATAAGGGCTGCTGCTGAGCTTGCCAATGCTGCTAAATTCATAGACAAACTGCCTCAGGTTAAATTCCTTTGAACTTTCCTCTAAGTTCTGGTATTTAGTTCTCTGAACGTTTTTTTCTTATTTGTGGTTTTCTGACTTATGCATTTAGGGACTAGACACAATGGTTGGTGAGCATGGAACTCAGCTATCTGGGGGCCAAAAGCAGAGAGTTGCTATAGCTAGGGCAATTCTCAAGGACCCAAGGATTCTACTTTTAGATGAAGCCACGAGTGCTCTTGATGCAGAATCTGAGAGAATTGTGCAGGAGGCACTGGACAGAATTATGATCAACCGGACTACTGTCATTGTAGCCCACCGCTTGAGCACAGTAAGGAATGCTGACACCATAGTTGTTATACATCGAGGAACAATTGTTGAAAAAGGTGATGCATTCATTTATGTTGTCCTGTTCTACCATTTGAAGGCCAAATCTTATTGTCTATAGTTTAACATACTGTTACAATTCACATACTGATCGTTTTCAAGTGAGCAGGTCCACATTCCGAACTAATTAAGGACCCTGACGGAGCATATAGCCAGCTTATAATGTTGCAAGAAATGAGCCGTGTGTCAGAACAAACTGCTGTAAATCATCACAAAAGGCTTAGCAGCGTGGATTCTCGAGGAAGTAGTAGCCGTCATTCCTTCTCAATCTCATACGATCTGCCCACTGCAGTAGGTTCTCTTGAAACTGCATTTGATATTCCTGCTTCAGCATCATCAAAAATGCCTCCAGAAGTCTCACTTCGCCGCCTGGCTTACCTGAACAAGCCAGAGATCCCAGTATTATTACTTGGTACTATAGCTGCAGCAGTCAATGGGGCAGTCTTACCTATTTTTGGGATATTGATATCCAGCGTAATCAAGACCTTCTACGAGCCACCTCCTCAACTTCGTAAGGATTCAAAGTTTTGGGCACTAATCTTTATTGTTCTTGGAGTGGTAACTTTCATAGCAATGCCAGCAAGACAATACTTTTTTGCTGTGGCGGGGTGTAAGTTAATAAAACGAGTTCGGTCAATGTGCTTTGAGAAAGTGGTTTACATGGAAGTAAGTTGGTTTGACGATCCTGAGCACTCAAGTGGTGCTGTTGGTGCAAGGCTTTCTGCAGATGCAGCTTGTCTGCGTGGGCTGGTTGGAGATGCTCTAGGTTTGCTGGTTGAGAATTCAGCAACTGCAATTGCTGGTTTGTGTATTGCTTTTGTGGCAAATTGGCAACTTGCTCTTATAATCCTTTTTATGCTGCCTCTATTAGGAGTAAATGGTTATTTTCATTTCAAGTTCGTGAAAGGATTCAGTGCAGATGCAAAGGTATTTCTCCAAAGTCCGAACTTTTCAAAATTTTGTCGTCAAAACACCATCCAATCTGACATACATAATATATATAAGACCATTCTCTTTTGTCAATGCCGAAAATTTTAAATGGTTGCAGAAAATGTACGAGGATGCAAGTCAAGTAGCCAATGATGCAGTGGGGAGTATTCGAACAATTGCTTCCTTTTGTGCTGAAGAGAAGGTGATTGAGTTGTACCAGAAGAAATGTGAAGGCCCTATTCAGACTGGGATAAGACAAGGGTTAATCAGTGGGATAGGTTTTGGGCTATCATTCTTTTTCCTTTTCTCTGTGTATGCCAGCAGTTTTTATGCTGGAGCCCGACTTGTCGCAGCAGGCAAGACAACATTTTCTGATGTTTTCCGGGTAAGTTTTTCCGCCTTGTGCTACAAGTCTTCAAGTTAGTAAATAGAAGAGAAAACACAAGCAAAGCGAAGGATCTGAACTCCGCTAAATAAGTACTTTTTACTTAAGAATCAAATCTTCGTTAGTCCATTCAGACCATGTTACATTTTGCGTTCATGGTTTGCAGGTTTTCTGTGCTCTCACGATGACAGCTATTGGAGTTGCTCAGTCAGGTTCCCTAGCCCCTAATCAAAGTAAAGGAAAGAGCTCTGCTACTTCCATATTTGCAATTCTTGACCGGAAGTCGAAAATAGATTCCAGTGATGATTCTGGAACAACTATAGAGAATGTAAAGGGAAAAATTGAACTTCGCCATGTCAGTTTCAAATATCCAACTAGACCTGACGTGCCAATCTTCCAGGATCTTTGCTTGACCATTCATCACGGCAAGGTAACTAGACATGTTTTGTCCTTTTAGTCATTTCAATCAATGCATAAGATTTTGGACTTGAGTAGTCTAATTCAAGTGTCTGGGACTTACAAATTGAAATATGTTATCAGACAGTTGCTTTGGTTGGAGAAAGTGGAAGTGGGAAATCGACAGTTGTCTCATTGTTGCAGAGATTTTATGACCCTGATTCTGGTCAAATTACATTAGATGGAGTTGAAATCCAAAAACTACAGCTCAAGTGGTTGAGACAGCGAATGGGACTGGTGAGCCAGGAGCCTGTATTGTTTAATGGCACTATCAGAGCCAACATTGCATATGGAAAGGAAGGGATTGCAACAGAGACTGAAATTATAGCTGCAGCAGAATTGGCAAATGCTCACAAGTTCATCAGTAGTTTACAACAGGTAAGTACTACAGAATTAACAAGATTTTCAATTTCCTTTTGGCCACAAATACTATGATATAATCTATTGCCGTGGTGCTGCATAAATGAGAAGGACGAGTTGATGAAAATTCACAAAATTATATTTGGAACGTTGAAGATTAACTATGTTAAGTTCGGGAAACAATGCAGGGTTATGATACAATAGTAGGAGAGCGGGGAATTCAATTGTCTGGTGGACAGAAGCAAAGGGTGGCAATTGCACGAGCTATAATGAAGGCACCAAAGATACTACTACTAGATGAAGCCACAAGTGCTCTTGATGCTGAATCGGAACGAGTGGTTCAAGATGCATTGGACCAAATCATGGTGGATCGAACCACAATCGTGGTTGCCCATCGGTTATCCACGATAAAGGGTGCAGATGTAATTGCAGTGGTGAAAAATGGAGTAATTGCAGAGAAAGGAAAGCATGAAACTTTGATCAGTATCAAAGATGGCATTTATGCATCTTTAGTAGCATTGCATTCAAGTGCCTCATCTTAGATATCCTTTATATTCATTTTATCCGAAGAAAAAGAAAGTATGTAATGTAATTTTATGCAAAGAGGTTGTTGAAAACATATTTCCTTGTATTTGACAGATTACACAAAGTCCCTATTTATGCTAGTACGGGATATCTACTTAAGGTAGGAAATAATATAGACATGAATACAATCCAAATTACAGCAGAAAATGCTAATTGCTAGGAGGAGATTGTGAGTTGACTTATGTGTAGGCTAGGAAAGGAAAACTGCGTTAACACCCCCCCCCCCCCCCTGGCAAACTGGGCGTCACAGTATGCACAAGTTTGGAAGACATATGCTGATGGCGTGGTTTGTGAAGGGCTTTGGTGAACAGGTCCTTAGGTTGGTCGATAGAAGTAACAAAGCAAACTTGACTTCCAAGAGCAACCTTTTCACGGACAAAGTGATAGTCCAACTCAATGTGACGTGTGTGGGCATGGCAAACTAGATTGGCAGCCATGTACGTGGTGCTGAGATTGTCACAAAAGAGTTGGAGTGGGAACCGAAGACGCACACCCAATTCATGAAGAAGGGAGCATAGCCAAGTGGTTTTGGCACAAGCATGAGAGAGGGCACGATATTCCGACTCTATACTAGAGCGCGAGACTGTGGGCTGTTTCTTGGAACACCATGAGATGAGGTTAGTTCCAAGAGCAATCACATATCCAGTGGTCGACTGACGAGAATTAGGGCACCCAGCCCAATCCGCATCAGAGTAGGCGGAGAGGCGAGCGGCGGCAGTTTGAGGAGTGAAGGTGAGGCCGAGGTCAATAGTGCCCTTGATGTACCTAAGTATCCGTTTGGCGGCAACAAGGTGAGAGGTGCGAGGGGCACTCATGAACTGAGCAACAGTGTTGACGGCAAAAGATATGTCAGGGCGAGTAAGTGTGAGGTATTGTAAACTGCCAACAAGCTCGCGATACTCGGTTGGGTTGGAGATGAGAGCACCATCAGAGACAGAGAGGAGAACCTTGGCAGCCAATGGAGTGGATGCTAGTTTGGAGTTGAGAAGATTGGCTTTTTGTAAAAGATCATGTGCATATTTGAGTTGGTTGATGTGGAGATTACCATCCTTATGAAGAACCTGTAAACCTAAGAAATAGCTGAGCGGACCAAGGTCTTTGATGTCAAAGTGGCCACCTAAAAGAGAGATGAATTGTTGGAGATGAGTGGAATCATTGCCAGTTACCACGATGTCATCGACATATAGAAGAAGAAAGATGGTATGGGATGCCTGTTGAAAAATAAATAATGAACTGTCAGCTTGGCTCCGTGTAAAGCCCATAGACAGAAGGAAAGTACTGATGCGATGGAACCAAGCACGAGGTGCTTGTTTGAGGCCATAGAGTGCTTTGTGGAGCTTGCAAACATAAGAAGGACAAGTGGGATCAATGAAACCAGGGGGTTGAGCCATGTAGACATCTTCTTGAAGAAACCCATGGAGAAAGGCATTTTTGACGTCAAGTTGACGAAGGGACTAACCACGAGAAACTGCAAGACTGAGAACAGTGCGAATGGTGGCAGGCTTGACAACAGGACTGAATGTTTCAGCATAGTCTATGCCCGAACGTTGATGGAAACCCTTGGCAACTAGACGAGATTTGTAGCGTTCAATGGAGCTGTCAGAGTGACGCTTAATCCGGAAAACCCACTTGCACCCAACCAAGTTCTGAGATGGAGAGGAAGGAACCAAAGACCATGTGTGATTTTTGAGAAGTGCATTGATTTCTTCAGTCATGGCGTCATGCCATTCAGGATGCTTAATGGCCTGTGAAAAACAAGTAGGTTCAGTATGCTCAACAACAGTTAATAAGGCACGGGGAATGGGATATTTGACAGTGCCATCGGTATGAAGCTTGGCCTTTTGAATGCCATCCTGAAGACGGGTACGCATGCGAGGAATAGGGGCAGGAGATTGCGGAGCTGCTGGAACCGGGGGGTTCAGAACTGCTGGAACCGGGGGGTTCGGAGTTGCTGGAACCGGGGAGTTCAGAGGTGCTGGAACTGCGAGGTTCTGAGCTGCTGGAACAGGGGCAGGCGCAAGTGGAGAGAGCTGTATGCGAGGGCGTCAGGAATAAGTTTGGAGCAATGGCTGGGATAAATAAGAAGAAGTGTCGTTGAGTGGACCATGGCTTGGGACTGCAACAGCTGGAAAGGTGCGCACCAGGGAGGTGCCGTGAGGTTGCGAGTCTGGGACAGGAGTGATCGATACGGGCCCAGGTCCAGAGGAGGGTAGAATTGGGTGGAATTCAATATCCACATACTCTGAAGAAGATGATACCTGCAAATGCTCAAATGGAAAATGCATCTCGTTAAATAAAACATGGCGGGACGTGTAAACACGACCCGTGGAAGGATGTAAACAATAGTAACCTTTGTGGTGAGAACTGTATCCAAGGAAAACACATTCAAAGGTGCGGTTGGTGAGTTTATTTTCAGTATATATGGTCCAAGGTAAGGGAAATAGGAACAACCAAACACTCGAAGATGAGAGTAGGAGGGAGGATGTTGGAAGAGACGATTATATGGGGTGTCCCATTGAAGATTAGGAGTAGGTAAGATGTTTATGAGATGGACAGCAATGAGGGCAGCTTCGACCCAGAGATTGTGTGGAGTGTGAGAAGTGGTAAGGAGGGTACAGATCATGGTGGCAATGTGTTTGTGTTTACGTTCAGCTAGGCCATTTTGTTGGGGAGTGTGGGGACATGAGAAACGTTGATGGATGCCTAGTTGACTGCAAAGATCAGAGAAAGCATTATTAACATATTCAATGCCATTGTCACTTTGAAGGATTTGCACAGTGGTGTGAAATTGATTTTTAACCATGGCAAGAAAGGTTTGAAAGTGAAAAAAGACCTCATTTTTACGGTGCATAGGATAGATCTAGGAATAACGGGAAAAGTCATCTATAAACAAGACATAATAGCGATAACCAGTGACAGAAATGACTTGGGACATCCATACATCAGAGTGAATTAAATAAAAGGGAGATGGGGCAAATGTTTTATTACTAAGAAATGATAGTTTGGTGGTTTTGCTAAGTGTACAATCTTTACAAAAAGCATGAGAAACTTTAAAGCCTAGAGATGGCACTAAGTGAGAGAACACAAGATGGGATGGATGGACAAGGCGATGATGCCAAGCAGGAGAGTGCACAGTGGTTAGGGCACAGGGAACAGTGGATGAGTGAGATGATAGGGAAAGTGGGTAAAGACCATCTTTAGAAGGGCCTTGAAAGAGTAACGAACCAGTACATAAGTCATAGATTTGATAAAAATCAGGAGTAAAGACAAAGAAAACTAAATTATCACAAGTAAAATGGGCAACAGAAAGAAGATTAGTACAAAGAGAGGGAAGACAAAAGACATTTTGAAGAGAAAAATTATGAGAACCTAAAGGAAGAGGAAGAGAGCCAGTATGAGAGATAGAGAGAGAATCTCCATTACCAAGAAATACAGAATTATTACCCTGATATGGCTGTTGATTTTGGAGATTAGAAGGACTACCAGTCATGTGATGAGTGGCACCTATGTCAGGGTACCAAGTGGAGTCAGGTGGCTGCATGAATTGAGCCCCTGCAAAGGAAGGAAAGGATTTTGGGCCATTGTAGCGATGGGGACATGTTGCAGTAGTATGTTGATTGGTATTGCATGTGGTGCACCAAGCGGGTCCCAAGACACCAGGAGCTGAGTTGGGCCGGGCAGATTGTTTGCTAAAAGCTGTAGATTGGCCCAAGGAGGTTGAAAGGAAGGCCAGTTGCTTTGAGATCCAGCACTTGGAGCAAAAGGAGGCCACGGTTGATGAGGCCATTGGGGCTGCTGGGAGCCATTCCACGGGTTGCTCCAGGAAGATGAGAAGTTGCGCCAGCCACCACGGCCGCGACCGCGCCAGCCACCGCGCTTATTGCTAGAAGAGCCACCACCACGGTGAGAAGGGAACGAAGTATGACTGGTGGTGTAAGGAGAGGATTGGGTAGCCATTAGCATTGTGTTTTGATCAGGAAATATTCGAGGAGCCTGTGCATCAAAAGCTAACAAACGAGCACGAAGATCAGCAAAGTCAGGAAGCGGAGGAAAATTGAGAATGGCCGTGATGAGCATTTTGTAATCGGGTCCTAAACCCCGAAGCACAACAGTGACAAGTTCCTTTGGGGAGACAGGCTCATTGATGGCAGCTAGGGAATTGGCAAGGGACTTAGCATGACGGAGGTAAGCATCAATGGGTTGAGAGCCTTTTTGTAGATCCATGAGTTGAAAATGAAGAGCATATTCACTGGCCATACTAGATTGAGAGAAGTGGCGTTGGAGGCACTCCCAGAGATCCTGGGCAGAGGTGCAGCCAACGGTGAGGGAGAGAATGGACTCAGAGAGTGTACTGGTGATGTAGCTAACAATGAGTTGGTCTTGTTGGTACCACTGAGTATGGGCGGGATTGGTTTGGGTAAGATCGGTGGTGGTGGTGGTTGTGGGTGATGTTGTGGTAGAAGTGGAGATTTGGGCAGAAGGTTGTTTATGAGTGCCATCGATAAATTTCTAGAGGTCGTGACCGACTAAGAAGGGTTTGAGTTTGCGGAGCCAAAGGAGATAGTTGGAGTCAGTAAGCTTGATAAAATGAGAAGAGTTGGGGCTAGGGAGGGAGATGGTGGATTCAGAAGAAGCCATGAGGTGGACTTAGAGGAGGATTGGATCGAATAAGGGAGAGGGAGGAAACCCTAGGTTAGGCTGATACTGAGGGAACCGAATTAATTCATAACCCTAGGTCAAATAATTCATTCCATTTGGAGATTATTTGACCTAATTGGGAATTATTCAATTTAATTGGGAGTTACCCAATTAAATAGAATGTTACCTAATTAGGTTAAGGATTGATTTGATTCCTACGAATATTCTCAATTAAAGGAGGAGTTACCTAATTAAATTAGGTATTGATTTGATTACCACAATTAGGGATTTGATTTATATTCCTAATAAATCAAATCCCTAATTAGTCAAATCTCGTCAAATTTGGGAGGAATAATTCCCTTCCATCTACGGAATTATTCCTCTGAAACCCTAGCTCCCGAGACCTCTATAAAAGGATGACCGCATACAAGGGTTGAGGTACGTCTAAAATTACTACCAAATCTCTGCAGAAATTATTTCTCACAAACCCTAGCCGCCACTCTCTCCCTCCCTTTTACACAAGGCTCTGGCCACCACTCACGGCTCCGGCCACCCGGTTTTCACCACACATACATATTCCCGTACCCCTATTTTAGCTATCGCTTCTCTATAGATCGATTGAACTGACTTAGGCATCGGAGGGCCTTTGGCCAACACCCCCTGAGTGTGGTCCTCTTATTGCTATACATTTTGCAGGGAGAAAGAGAGGCGGAGAAGACGAAGGAATCTGTCAACCGAATATTCCCGTGGGAGGAAATTTGCTCCCACAGATACCATGTAGAAAATATATTTCCTTGTATTTGACAGATTACACAAAGTCCCTATTTATGCTAGTACATGATATCTACTTAAGGTAGGAAATAATATAGACATGAATACAATCCAAATTACAGCAGGAAAGACTAATTGCTAGGAGGAGATTGTGAAGTTGACTTCTGTGTAGGCTAGGAAAGGAAAGCTACGTTAACAGAGGTAAATTACCAATTCTTTCTTTCTTGAAAGTTTCACTTGGAGCAACAAAACACTTGTGAATCAAACTCATTATAAATGGCGGATCCAGGATTTGATAGTCGGCTGGGCAAAACTTACATACTAAACTCGAGTGAGTTTCATTAAAAAAATATTAAAAAATACACATAGTCAAGGGGGACGTAATGAGCCTTACCCCTCAAATGCATCTCCACATAAATAAAATCTTACCAAAAAAGAAACCAAAAGAAAAGGTACAAGTAAATGCGATGCAAAGAAAATAGGGAGCTTTAGTAATATACCCAAAATACGGGATGAAATTATAAAAAAAACCCCACATAGAATGCACTTTAGAAACACACCCAAAAACTATTTACTACATAAGAAATGAGTGTTGAAGTTCCTATAAATTACATCTCTACCATTGATTAACTTAAAATAAGCCCAACACAAAAAAAAAACAAAAAAAACCCAAAACAAGCCCAACCCAAATTTTTTTTAAAAAACCCAAACTTTAAATAAATAAATAAATAATCACGAAAATCAAGGAGTTGTCCTTACAACCCTTCTCCATCGAACCTCCGTACACTGTTAATACCATGTCATAGAAGTATATTGTTAATACCATTTCATAGAAGTACATTGTTAATACCATTTCATAAAAGTACATTGTTAATACCATGTTATATAAGTACACCGTTAATGCCATGTCATGGAAGTACATTGTTAATACCATTTCATATAAGTACATTGTTAATACCATGTTATAGAAGTACACTGTTAATACTATGTCATAGAAGTTTATTGTTAATACAATTTCATAGAAGTACATTGTTAATACCATTTCATACAAAAAAATTTAAAAAACCCAAAAAACCCTAGCAAGACATCCGATATCTTTTGCAGAAACCACCTCCAATTGTCCATAGTTTCACCACATACAATCACAAAGGCAAAAGGAAATACCTCTACAAGAAAAGAAAAAAAGTACATTGTTAATACTATGTCATAGAAGATGTCGTGAGTGCTAAATTCTCCACAAGCTCTGATTACCACCCAATAAAACAATATTCAAACTTACACAACTACGTAGTGCTTACATTATCAATGATAGACTCAAGAAGATCATTTTACAATTGCAAGTCAGATTCCATCATTATGGCAATCACCATTGGCTTAACCTGAAACCAAATAGAGGCCGTTTAATTTAAATATTGTGTCCGTGTTCATACAAGGTATCAAACGTTAAAATACGCATAAAAACATAAATTTCCTAGGAGACTTAGACAGTAAATTTCCACAGAGGTTGCAAGTGAGCAGTGCAGAAACAGTTGTATCATCCTCTTCAGCAACATTCTCACTTGCTATCCCACAAAATTTGCATGTACAATTTGGACAGTGCCAATCACCTGGAGGAAGCATCTGCAATGAGAACAGATATATCAATACCTAACCAAGAGTGAACAAGAGTAAATCAATTCCTCAAGTTCCCAAAACTACTAAGAACAATTCATAGTTTCAGATTTATTAGCAAACTGAATCAAACTTGTTTCTCCAAGTTTGCCGGCAAAAGACATCTAAATAAACAAGATTTGTATTAAGCTCCTCTCAAGTGTCAAAACTTGCAAGCACATTCAACAACATTTCCCAGACCACAGAAACACACCAAAATCCATGACTCACAATCCAAAAATTTCTCTAAGATCTCGACATCACAAATAAATTTGCAATCCCTCTCTATCAAAAGTAAATCTCAACTTCACAGAACTAAATAGGTAGAGGGAACAAAAACCCTCAATGAACCAAAATATATCCCAAGGGAAACAAATTACACCCAATGCACCGTTGAAAATATAAATAGCATCAATTTGGCAACCATATCCTGTGATCTGCAGAAAAATAACATAAACATACTTGTATATTCAAGCAGCTCTGATGAAATGTTGATGGACAGCTATCACAACAGATCAAATCCCCACCATCTCCACAGAGGCCACAAGTATCATCATCAAGATCATCACCGTCAACTTGTACAGAGTGGAACCCGATGCGTTCAATATCCTCTTGTCTATTCCATGCATCTATCTGACATTGCAAAAGGAAAACCCCAGAATCCAAACATATATTTTGAAATGGCTGGCGCAATTTGCTTCCCGCATGAATCTCAAATTTTGAGATAAATGACGCGCAGATCCACTCTCCCAATGATAAAGAACTCGATCTCTGCTCAACCCCAAAAAATTACAAAAATAAAATACGATTAATGCTGCTTAATTAATCGGAAAATCAAAAATTAAGCATAAACAATGGGAAATGAAAATTCGCCCATTTTAATTTTTACCGAGAAATCCATTGTCGTCTGCAACAACTCATCAGATCGAGATTGCTACTTCTGGCGTTGTGTTGCTTTGTGCTTTTTAATGAAATATGTCTGCGTCTGCACCAGAGAGCTTCGTGAGGCTTCTTCTCTCTCGCTGCTTTGGCGTGGATTATACATTTGGTTTCAGAGATGGACAGAGAAGAGGGCGCACGAGACTGCATAACTCTGACCATAGCTCCATATCTGGCTGCAATTGAGTAATAACCAGAGAGAGAGAGAGAGAGAGAGAGAGAGAGAGCAACAATCGGTGAGTAATAATCCAGTTTTGAGTTTTTTAATATGAATTTCACACTAAGTGTTGGTGTGTAATCCTTCAGCCGAGTTTTTGGAGCTAAAGGAATTGTGTCTGCTCTGTTTTCATTTCCTTTTAGTTGTTTATTTTTTCTTCAGTTTTATTGTGCACCCTTGGATCACAGTCCAAGTGTTTTAATCTCTAGCATAGGTTTAAATGACATGTGTAAGCATCTAATAGGATGCTAGAACTTGAGCTTTTTGTAAATATGGTACAGGGAAGAATATCTCTTTTCCTCTCTCTGCCTAACGATTATAACCAAACAGTGGAACAGATATGAAATACACAGAAGCATTTTTTCATTCTCCAGAGCAACGCTCTCTCTCAATTTTTCTGTGATTTTCTTCTTTGCTCCCAAAATATCCAAAATATGAAATGCTGAAACTAAGAATTCTAACATGGTATCGCGAGCCAGGTTCGATTGCTTGAGCTGGGCGTGAATCTGTGATTGAATCGGAGAAATTGGGTTTTGTTTGAGCTAAACTTGAGCTCATCTGAAGATCGCGATTTCTCAAATCCAATGTCTAATATGGCAGGATCGAGTACCTCTGAGCTGCGAACTCCAATTTTCAATGGAGAAAATTATGAGTTCTGGAGTATCAGAATGAAAACTATTCTGAAATCTCATGGTTTATGGGATCTGGTCGAGAATGGGTTAAGTGACCTAGATCTGAAGAAGGAGAAAGAGGAGGCTGTAGACACTGAGAAGTCTATGGTGGTTCAGACTCTGATGAAGGATGCACGTGCACTTGGATTGATCCAAAGTGCTGTTTCAGATCAGCTATTTCCAAGGATTGTGAATGAGGAAACTTCGAAGGGAGCTTGGGATATTCTGAAGCTGGAATTCAGAGGAGATAAACAGGTACGAAATGTCAAATTGCAAGGGCTGCGTAGGGAATTTGAATATACCCGCATGAAGGATAGTGAATCTTTATCTGTATATCTGGTTAGGTTGTTTGATATAGTAAATCATATGAAGAGTTATGGTGAGGAACTATCTAGAGAGAGAATTGTCCAGAAGCTATTGTTTAGTTTGCCTAAATCTTATGATTCTATCTGCTCTGTAATTGAACACTCTAAGGACCTTGAAACTCTTGAGGTTCAAGAGGTTGTCGCTTCACTGAAGAGCTTTGAGCTCAGATTGGATAGACACACTGAGAATTCTACAGAAAAAGCCTTCTCTAGTCTGAATGTTGGTAGGAAAAACCCTGAAAATGGAATTGCTTCTGCAGATCAAATACCTCAGAAAAATTGGAAATCCAATGATGGAAACAAAATGGCCTGCAAACATTGTGACAGATTTCATTATGGCAAATGTTGGTATGAAGGGAAACCTAAATGCCATGGTTGTGGGAAGCCTGGACATATGATCAGAGATTGCTATGGACACAAGAATGTGCAGAGAGTGAATTATGCAAATCAGGAGGAAGATTGTGGCACTTTGTTTTATGTGTGTAATGCTGCAACTGATGTGAAGGTAAATCACTCTTGGTATATTGACAGTGGTTGTAGTAACCACATGACAGGAGATGAGGGACTTTTGGTCAATATTCAAAGGAATTTGAGCTCTAAGGTGAAGATGGGAACTGGAGAAGTGGTCCCAGTTGCTGGAAAAGGGACCTTGGTGATAAAAACTAAGTTAGGCAAGAAGCACATTCATGAAGTAATGCTTGTACCTGGCCTTGAAGAAAATCTGCTTAGTGTTGGGCAAATGATGGAACATGGCTATCACCTTGTGTTTGGAGGAAATGTGGTGAGTGTTTATGACAATCAGTCACTAGAAAATCTGATTGTGAAGGTGCAGATGACAAATAACAGATGCTTTCCATTGACAATGATGCCTGCGAGTGAGTTGGTCCTAAAAGCAAGTGTCACACATTGCTTGCAGACATGGCATAAGAGGCTGGGGCATTTAAATGAAAGAAGTATAAAATTGCTTGAGAATCAAGGGATGGTTCATGGCTTACCTCACTTGGAGCAGAAGTCAGTTGTATGTGATGGTTGTATGCTTGGAAAACAGCATAGGGATTCTTTCCCTTTGGAATCCACTTGGAGAGCTTCAAACCCTTTGGAATTGGTTCACACAGACATCTGTGGACCAATGAAAACAGAATCACTATCTGGAAACAGGTACTTTCTACTGTTTACAGATGATTTTACTAGAATGTCATGGGTGTACTTCATCAGAAATAAGTCAAGTGCATTGGAATGTTTTAGAAAATTCAAAGCTATGACTGAGCTGCAAAGTGGGTATAAGATAAAAGGCTTGAGAAGTGACAGGGGTGGAGAGTTTCTATCTGGAGAATTCAACAAGTTTTGTGAGGAATCTGGTATTCAAAGGCAGCTAACTATGGCATATTCTCCACAGCAAAATGAAGTGGCCGAGAGGAAGAACAGGACAGTAGTGGAAATGGCCAAGTCCATGTTGCATGAGAAAGGTGTTCCCTATGAGTTTTGGGCAGAAGCTGTAAATACAGCAGTCTATTTGCTGAATAGATGTCCTACCAAGGCTCTTAACAAGATAACACCATTTGAAGCTTATACTGGCAGAAAACCAGGAATTGCACATTTAAAAATATTTGGATCTCCTTGTCATGTGTTTATTCCTTCAGCATTGAGGCATAAGCTTGAAGAAAACAGTCACAAGTGTATTTTTGTAGGCTATGGTCTCTGTGAAAAGGGATATAGGCTGTTTGATCCAAGTACTAGGAAGATAATTCTGTCCAGAGATGTGCAATTTGATGAAAATGGCTTATGGAAGTGGGAAAATACAAATGAAGAAGAGATGGTAGTCCCTTTGCCTACTGAGAATCAAAGCTGTGAACCAAGTCAAAGCTTGGATACACCACTGCAAATGGATGAAGAAGTCACATTACAAGCTGAACCAAGTCAAAGCTTGGATACACAAACTCAAATAGTTGAAGATACCACTCTGCAAGATGAAGGCATAGGTGAAAGTTCTCAATTCTTTGATCACACACCAAAGAAATGGAGAAGTGTAAGTGAAATCATGGCTAAGTGTAATGTGTGTATTGTGGAACCTGAAAATTATGAAGATGCAGCTCAAGATGAGTCATGGAGAAAGGCAATGGAAGCTGAACTGGAAATGATAGAAAAAAATGACACTTGGAAACTTGTCGAGAGACCATTTGCTAAACCTGTGATTGGTGTTAAGTGGGTCTACAAGACTAAACTGAATCTAGATGGTACTGTGCAGAAAAACAAGGCTCGTTTAGTGGCTAAAGGCTACTCACAAAAGCCCGGTATTGATTACAATGAGACTTTTGCCCCTGTGGCAAGGCTAGACACCATTAGGACCTTGATTGCTCTTGCTGCACATAAGGAATGGAGCTTGTATCAACTAGATGTGAAATCTGCATTTCTTAATGGAGTTTTAAAGGAGGAAGTATATGTGGAGCAACCACAAGGATTTGTAAAGAAGGATGAGGAAACAAAGGTATACAAGTTACACAAAGCTTTGTATGGTTTGAAGCAAGCACCAAGAGCTTGGTATGACGAGATTGATGCCTATTTCAACAAGGCTGGTTTCAAGAAAAGTCCAAGTGAGGCAACTTTATATGTTAAGGCAGAAGGTTCAGATGTTCTTATTGTTTCTCTATATGTTGATGACATAGTGTACACGGGTAGCAGCTCTCAAATGATTGAAGAATTTAGGAGAGATATGATGGAACACTATGAGATGACAGATTTGGGAGTATTACACCATTTTCTTGGAATGGGGGTGATACAGTCTAAACAAAGCATTTTCTTGCATCAGAAGAAGTATGGACAGAAGCTGGTTGAAAAATTTGGTTTGAAAGATTGCAAAATAGTGGCTACACCACTTGCAATGAATGAGAAGTTAAGTAAGAATGATGGAAGTGAGGCTGCAGATGAAGGAGAATATAGACAGATTGTGGGCAGTTTGCTCTACTTGACTGCAACTAGGCCTGACATAATGTTTGCAGCTAGCCTCTTGGCAAGATTCATGCACAATCCCACCAAGAAACACATGGGAACTGCTAAAAGGGTATTGAGATACATTCAAGGAACAATAGACTTTGGAATTGTATTTGAGAAGGGAAAAGAAACTACTCTTATTGGCTATTGTGATAGTGACTGGGCAGGAAGTGAAGATGACATGAGGAGTACCTCAGGGTATGCTTTTACTATGGGATCGGGAGTGTTTTCGTGGGCTTCAATTAAGCAAAATACAGTTGCTTTGTCTACAGCAGAGGCAGAATATATAAGTGCTGCAGAGGCTACTTCTCAAGCAAAGTGGCTGAGATTTGTACTTGAAGATTTTGGAGAAGAACAGATTGAAGGAACACAGATAATGTGTGATAACACATCAGCAATTGCTATGGCAAAGAACCCTGTTTTCCACCAGAAGTCAAGGCACATTAACAGAAAGTTTCATTTCATTCGAGAAGCAATTCAAGCCAAGGAGATAGAACTTGTCTACTGCAGAACTGAGGAGCAAATTGCAGATATTCTGACTAAAGCTTTGCCTAAGGACAGGTTTGCATACTTAAGGGAATTACTTGGTGTTAAGTCGGCTAAAGGATTAGAAGGGAATGTTGGTGTGTAATCCTTCAGCCAAAGTTTTTGAAGCTACAGGAATTCCCTTTACCTTTCTTTTTAAGTTGTTTTATTTCTCAGCTTTATTGTACACCCTTGGATCACAGTCCAAGTGCATGGCATGTACTAATATACATTTCCAACAGTCCAAGTTACACATAAATATATAAAAAATAGTCACTTGGTTTGGACCACCCAAATTGCAGTGGTTGAGATTGTTCTTCCATTGCATAAGCTTGCGCATCACTTCTCCTGAATCAATAATATACACACCTCACGTCATATTCCATGCCATACTTTTTGTTTTGCTACCATTCCTCTGTCTTATTCCTTATTTTCATTCCCATGTATTCTATTCTAATTATATAATTCCAATACCAGCTTCTTGTTTTACTCATTTTATTATATGTAGATGGGCAGCAGGCACTGGTTAATCTATAGAGGGCAAAGCATCATGGCTTGTACCTTACACCTAATCTCGTGATC